CCCGCTGGGCGTAGCCCGGCCCGGCAGCCCGGGAGGAGCAGAGGCCCCTCCCGGGCCCCCACCCGGGCCTAAATCGGCCATCGCAGCGTACAGCCCCCAGAGGGGGGTTGAGCTAAGCCGGCGGAGGTCGCTCCCGGCTGGGTGAGGGACGCTCACGCGGTCCTTTCTGCGAGTTGTGGGGAACCGTGTCTCCCAGGCGAGGGGAATGAAGAACCAGCTGGGAGATGGCTTCCACCACTGCAACTGCTTCAAGGGTCTCGACCGAGAGGCCGTTCGTGACTTGTCACGGACGCGGGCGCAGAGGGGCCCTGCTCTACACCGGGAACGAAGCCGGGGGTGGCAGGAGTAGCAGCTCATGGCAGCACGCCTGCAGCACAGCAGCATTCCCCCGCGGAGCGCTGCAACGGGGTACGCTGATGCCTGCTCTTACAAGTAGCGAGGGACCCCTTCCTCCTATTTTTCTTGTGAAAGCAAGTGTAAGACTTACCTTACAAGTCAGGTAAAATCTCCTTCGGTTTAAACTGGATCAGTTTAAACTGGAATCAGTTAAACTGATTAAACTGATCCAGTTTAATCAGTTCTGAAAAAAGATTCCACACTGGAATTCCACACTGGAATTCCAGGATTTGCTAGAAGAAAATACTATATACGCTAACATAAATAAATATACACTGCAAATCGCCAAACTGGGATTCACAGCCAATTATCCCTGGGTCTTTACAGGCCAAACACCCACTCTAACTTCCCACTTTCTCACTAAGTCATTTTTTTCCAATGGATTATAAAACCTTGTCATACCACTGTATTTCATATATTCTTTATTACAAGTGAATTAACAAGAAAGGAAATGACAATAAAATCATCTGTTCTTCCAGCTGGTAACTAAATAATTCATTGGAAATTTATATTAGATCAACCCTTGATATGAGGACATGGAGTTTATTTACTTACTTATTGCACTTGGCTACACTGATACCACAGAAGACCTCGTGAGGAACCAGGGCATTGGGTGATTTACTTCTTTCTTAGGTTCTCAGTTTAAATATGAAAAAACACCCAAGATCTCTAAGTTCTCATATATTGATTTTAATGGCTACATCCAGATACTCAAAGGATATTGCTAGATTAGGGCCATAGGAACTTCTAAAAACAAAGTATCATCATATGCCTTTTGATTCTATTTTTCTGTGATTCTATAACAAGGTACCATTACTGAACTGGCTTAGACCTTCAACCCCAGTAGAATCTAAAGAATTTTAATATACTGATAGTAAAGCAGAAACTGATGAAGCACAAGTAGAAAAATATTAGCCTAGGCTAGTTTCACAATGTCTTAAGCAAGATTGTTAAAAAACACACAGATGGGATTAATCTAAAATTATTCTCCAAGGCTTTTAGTGTTTTGCCATAGTTCCTTCCTCTGCAACATTCGAAAACCAAGAAAAATTTGCCATTAGTTACTTTCCATATTCACCGACATGTGGAATAAAATCCAACAAGTCCTTTGCTGATAATGTGAAGTTCTGCTGGCACAGAACTTTGTGCATTACAAAACGTGAGATCTATATGCTCTATGTGTACTGATGCTGAAAAATATAGGGCAGCTTCAGGTTTGAGGGTATTGCAGATTAGTTTCCACTAAAAAAAAAAAAACAAAACAAACAAAAACCAGCAACATAGAATCTGAATGTTCCTTTAGGGGAAACTTTATTTGTGATACATACACCAGTCTCTGAGCAGAGAGGGCTATGAATGACACAATAAAAATCTGCTTTCTAGAAGTCCCAACCTAAACATTACTGTCAGGGTCCCAAAAAGCATTTCAGTCCTAAAATTCCTTTTAGAGACAAATTTAGATAGGTTCCTTTTAAAGGTTAGAGAGACCTTGGCAACAAGAAAAATCACTTGCTGTTCCTGTCATATGTCATCAGGGACTAATTTGCATATTAAGAAACAGAACATGCAAGACTGCATAGAGCTGAGCGCTCTCGTATCCACGCTTACAGGCATGCCTTAGCTCTGTGGCATCGCTTGCTACTTGTGTGTGGCCCTGAGACCCATGTCTGTGCAGCTCATATTCCGCAGAACCTTTCAGAGCAGGGCAGAGTGCTTCTGGAATCAGTCTGGGGGACAAGTCCTCTCCTGCATGACCACAAGGACAGAAGTTACAGCAGACTGGCGTTCCTTGTAATTCTGCCAGTCCCATGCAGCCGCTTAGCCTTGTGCATTTGCAGCAGTGTGAAATGAGTCAGAGGTCTTTTGATGGGGCCCTGAAGGGCTGCAGTGAAAGTGTTTGAGGTGGGGCCAGGCAGTCAGGAGGTTATTGGGAGGCTCCTGTGGATTGCAGAGATGGGCCAGAGTACAGGACACGAAGGGTTTGGAGAAAATATACACAGGACAGATTTGAGAAACGTAGCACATACTGCAAGTGCTGCTCTCTTCTGCACTCCAGTTTCTGTAGAAGAACTAGCACAGCATAACGGGATGCTATAGTTATGCAGACATGGTACAGGAGGAAACAAACCTTTATGGATCTCTTCCTGGTCCTGCTTCAGTCTATTTTCTGCAGTGTTGCTCTGTGGTGGAAAAAGCCATTGCCTATCCTGAAATTGCTTGTTAGCAGCCCCGTCCAAAAATTTGCTACCCAAGACTGCTTCCAGACCATAAATCCTCTGGTTAGTTCTGATAACTTAACAACACTTAGAACTGGAGACAATAGTGATGAAAGTTTGTTGCTCTAGTGTGAAAGCTTGCTTACATACAGACTTGGCATCAGGGATATGCCTGAAATTACAGCTGGCTCTGGGATTTCCCAACTGAGTTGGGGATACAGACATAAATATGTGTCTGTAGTTTGCCTCCTCAATGCAGTAATGAAATTAGCAGAGTTCGGATTGAGCAGCGGGGGCTGATCCTGGCACACTTAGGGATTCTGTGCTATAGCAATCTGGATGGCTTTCTCCTGGCTTAGATCCCTAAGCTTCCTTCCTGTGAAACCAAGGCATGGAATGGGGATAAAAAGTGGTGGGAGGGGTACTACAAACAGTTGGAGTTATCCAGGCCAAAGAGCACACTAGGACTCCTTAATCCACCAGTGTAAGCGTGGGTTGTGTTAGCCTCAAAACTTGTTCTTTACATCCACAAAGAAACATCTGTGAACGTCAGCACAAGAAGCAATTGCAAAGCAAAGGAGGAAATCCATTATTTACACTCTTGCACAAGCTGACACCTATTCCTTCCCATGGACCTGGTCCCCAGTGGGTACCCACAATAATTTCCACAGGCCCATAGGACTGCACAGAACTTCTAGTAGCTACAGAATGTCTGTAGGAGGCTAAAGGCAAGGTGATGCAACCTTGAAAGTAATTTGGAGGCCAGTATTGTGCGCTTGTTACGTATGGTCACAGCTTACTGTCTCTTCACAACTTCTGCAGAGCTGAAAGCAAACATTTTCATTTGGAGTGGATCCTGACTACTGTCAAACCAAGTAGTAGATTGTTTTGTCCAGAAAATATCCCTATAAACAACATGACCAGCTTTAAGGGAGGTATTGTGTTTGCCATACCCGTTCACTGCTAGGCCATATGCAAGTCTATTAAAGGCAGAATGATTTCTAGTACACATACACAGATTATGAAATAACAAGAAATATTCTTTATTCATACAGGATTATTAGGGGGATCTGATTTTTCTCTTTTACTTATTTTTTTTAAACTCTTTGTGTGAAGTGGCTACTAAATTCCTATTAACATTTGTCCGTGAAGAAATTACAACTTACAGTGGACAAAGACTCAGTCTTGATATGACATTCAATATAAATTTAAATATAATTCTCTCTTCTTGATAATCTGGGTAATGATATGCCATATAGCTAGCCTGGGTAATTCATGTTTCCCTGTGGGTAAAACTTTGGCAGAAGAAGTACTGCTT